CTGGGTTGGCCAAAACTCATAACTGCCCTCCAGACTGTAAGTTTTGTTGCAGTGATACAGCCTCCTCTGGTTAGCAGGGCAGCAGCCACGTCTGCCTGTCCTGGGTGTGAAGTGTTGTACCTTGGAGCTCAGAGGGAACTCAGCCCCCTTGCCAGGTGTTGTCAGCCTGAGAGCTGAGGGTATGTGAGGCACCCCCAAAGCAGTGTAACCTTATGCTGTCCACCAGATTTGGCAGTGTCACATGCCACAGAGATTTTTCTGGGGTAGGGGAGGGTGTCAGGTTCTCCTGGGTTTCACTCAGCCTGAAGCTGCAAGGACTTGCAATTTCTGTGGTACCTGTTCTTGCTGGTGTTTTCCAGAGGTCAGTCACCCTGCTGCCCTCAAACCAGCAAGAACCAGAGCACCCCTAACCATCCTCCCAGCCCCATTATGCTGTGCAGATTTGGGTGTCTGTGGGCACTCTAGCCCTCAGTCTTGGCTGTAGCTGTGCTCTGGCAGTAGCAGCCCAGCTCTCCGCAGCTCTGAAGCAGGAGAGCCTGAATGGCACCTGGCAGCTGGTTAGAAACCAGAACGGTCTCAGGGCTTCAGTACAGGGACCTCCTCTGGGAGCTTCCTGAGTAACCAGGGGAGAAACATCCTTGGCTCTTGGCTCTGAGAGATGGCAGGAGCCAGTGAGCATCCTCTGCCACTGGAATGTAGGCAGGAGAGCATGGCAGGTACCCAGCTCTGGTGGGGAGCTCCTTGCTCATTGTGTATGCACTCTGCCCTGCATGTCATCATCTTACGCATATCTCTGTTGCTTTTGGTATGCGCTTTGCCTTTGCTCATTGTAACGGGACCTCCTCAGAGGAAACAAAGGCATGAAAGAGCTGCTTGTTCAGAGCTCCTGGATCCACCAGGGGAAAAAAAAAAAAAGACTTTTCCCTGACTGAAACACACCAGTGCCTCCTTCAGGCCTTGCAAGCTGAACTTGTTCTGTGCAGCTCTGCCCTGCTGCTCCCCTCCCTGCACAGCCCCTCCTGTGACTGGGGGTGCACAGAGGCATCAGGCAGTGCCAGGGCTTGTCTCTCCTCCCCGGGGTGTTCAGCCGGGCAGAGGAGCAGCTCTGTGCTCCAGGAGAGAGTGCTGCTCAGCCAAGGAGGGAAAGTGGAGCCAGTGTCAGCATGTCTAGCTGCTCCCAGCAGTGCTTCTCAGGAAGAAAAGCAAAAAGGTGCTCTGGGTGTGCACTGCAACCTGTAGAGGACCATGGAGCAGGTGGATGTTTCCATGGAGAGGACCTGTGCTGGAGCAGGTTCTCCTGGCAGGACCCTCTGGGGGTGCCCAATGGCTGCGCCAGGTTGGAGCTCAGGCCAGTTGGGAGCTCTGGAGCAGCCCCAGCAGCGCCCAGTCTGGTCTGGGGCTGCTCCTGCTGTTTTGGGGAGCCCTGAGCAGCCATCTCCACCACCATGTGCCTCACAATCCCTCCAGTGATTAACATACCCACAACACAGGTTGCTTCAAGGGGGAACCGGCTCTGCCAAGACTATGGGGAAACAACCCTAGTCTACAGGTGCCACCTCCCTGTTGGCACACATGGTCACACAGGGAGGGAGAGGGATGGGAGACTCTGTGTAAGGGCTGCAGCCCCCATTCCCTGACCCCTGTACTGCCAGGGGGAGGAGGCAGGCAGGAAGGTGGTGTTTTAGTGTTTGTTCTTCACTGCCCAAATCTATTTTGGTCATGATAAATGAATTTAGTTTTTACCAAGTTAAGCCTGTTTGGCCCATGATGGCAATAGGTGAGCCATCTCCCTGACTTTATACTACCCATGAGTTTTCTCATCCCCTTTTTCTATCTTGCCCTGCTGAGGGGGGGCAGCAAGTGAGGGGCTGGTTCTGCCCTTTGCTGTGTCTGACCCCTGCCCTCCTGGCAGGTGCTCCCACCCCAGCACCCCAAGTGCCACAGGAGCACAGGGTCCCCTCCGCCACAGCATTCTGAGCTGAGGAACTTGTGCCCTGGTAAGGGCAGCTGTGCCAGGCCTGGAGGGGCACTGCCTTCAGCTGGGGCAGCCCTGGGCTGGCTGGGGGCTGCCAGAGGCAGGGGGCAGGCAGGGAGGCTTTGGGCAGCAGCACTCCTGGGAAGGCAGTGCACTTCCAGGCTGAGCCCGTTTTCCTGCTCAATAACCGCACGGGACATAACAGAAGCCTCGTCCTGGCTGACCTGCACCAACTGCTTGTGTGGAGATTGTCGTGCTGTGCAGTCCCTGCAGCTCAGGACCCTTCCTGAGGGGAGCTGCAGCGATGGGAGGGGCAGCAGGTCCTGAGAGGGTGCTGCTGCAGGGATGAAACAATGGCCTGAGGAACTGCAGCACCCAGCACAGGTGCTGGGCACCTCCCCCCCTGTCTGTACCTGTGCACCAGCCCTAGTGAGCGTGACACCCAAGGTGGGTGCTGGGCAACCCTGTGGCTGTGCCAGGGACTGTGGCCATGGTTGGTTGGCCTCTGGGGTGTGACCGTGCTGTTCTGTGACTGACCTAGTGCTCCTGTCCCCACAGTGTACGTCGTAGAGGAGCGGCGGAGGGACGACACTGGCGAGAGTGCCTGCCTGACCGCGTGCTGGACCGCACTCTGCTGCTGCTGCCTCTGGGACATGCTGACCTGACCGCGCCACGGCTGCCGCCCGTCCTCTCACCGAGGGCGATGCAGGCTCCCCACTCCTGTCCTGACCTCTTTCTTTTACTGTAATCAATGCTCTGCTTTGCACAGCCAGGAGTTCCCGTCTGTCAGTCCTAGCGCCTGGTTGGGGTGGGAGGCGCACTCCTTTATTTTAGTAAAGGAAAAATCCCTTTTTAACATTTCTAAGACTTTTGTTGTAACTTTGAAGAATGTGCTAATGGTCTATTTCAGCCAAAGGCATTCTGATGAAATGTATATTTATCGGGTGAAATTTTCCTAGTCCTAGAAATGTAAACGTATGCAATAATTAAAGCCAACAGTTGATTTTCGTTGCTAGGTCCCGACTGTCTTAATAAACCTGTCCCATAGAGGGTGTGCTTCCCCCATCGCTGTCTGTTCTCAGCTGACGTGTGCTGACTTTGCAGCAGCAATGATGGACTTGGCTTCAAGCAGTTTCCAGCAGCTCCACTGCAGAAGTTCAGGCTTCCATCCCTTGCTGGGGCCTGGGCTGGGGGTGGCTGGCCATGATGTTACCAGCATCTGGGGCATTTTCTGCAGAAATCTATTGCATGAGCCATGAGGGTGCAGTGCAAGCAGCTGTGGTGGAGGGGGTGGAGTGTCCAGCTGCCTGTGGCCATGGCTCTGCCAGCCCAGCTGCCCTGTCTCCCTTCCAGCCCTTGTCCCAGCTCAGTGGTCAGCCCACCCAACCTGGCTTTAGCTTCTGCTCTGAACTGCCCCCACTGGGCATGAGATGAGTGCCCAGCCCTGTGCAGGCACCTTGCAACCATGGGCTGGTCCTTGCTCTGCCTCCAGTAGGAGCAGGGTGGGATGGGGCAAGGACTCAGCTTTTCTGCTCTCTGCCTCCTGCTCTGGCACCCACCACAAACACCAACAAACTGCCTGCAGTCCTGGGGTTATGTGGCTAGAGCAGCACCCTGCCCTGAATGCCACAGTGCTTGTCTTTGGGGGACATGGAGGGAACACCACATCTCCCATGGTCCATTGTGAAGGGCTGCCCAGAGTTCCAGCCACCCTGCACCATGCAAGGCATTACCTGCCTGGGGCTATGGGGGCAAAGGGGCTGAGGAGGCTGGAGATGAGAGGGCTCTGCCAGTCGGCAGTGAGCCAGGACACAGATGGGGCAGGGGGTGTGACCCCTCAGCCCTGCTGCAGGACCTAAATGGGTGGGTCGCTGGTCCAGAATTCACCTTGTTTCCCTCCCCTGCACCTTGGCTGGGTGCTGCCAAGCATAGCAGCTGGTAGATGCCAGCAAGCACCAGAGCCAACTGGGGCAACTTGTGGTCCATTATGGCATAATAATGCTCACCCAGAGTTGGCCTCTGTTCCCAAGTGAATAATGACAGGACCAGAGGAAATGGCCTGAAGTTGCAGCAGGGGAGGTTTAGACTGGATATTAAGAATTTCTATACTGAAAGACTGGTCAGACACTGATCCATCCACTGCACAGGGAGGTGGTGGTGTCACCATCCTTGGAGGTATTAAAGAAATGTGTAGTTGTGGCACTTCAGGACATGCTCTCGTGGCTGAGGTTGTAGGGATTTGGGGTTTTCTTGTGGGTGTTTTCTGGTGGAGTGAGTGTGGTTGTGCGTGTTTGTGTTGATGGTTGGACTCTGTGATCTCAGAGGTCCTTTCCAACCATGACGATCCTGTGATTCTGTGGGGTTGACAATGGGACCTGAAAACTCTTGCTCAGCTTCAAGATCCCAAGGAAGGAGATACCCTGAAAGCGCCATTTCAGCAGAGCACCAGAGGCAGGAGCAGGGGAAGGTGGAGCTGCTGCACTGTGAGTGTGGAGCATAGGGTGGCACTGGCTCTCCATGAGCTCACCACCCTGCTGGGCTCTGCCAGGCCTGTGTGCACAAGGAGGGAACCAGGGCCTGTCCCTGGGACAGAATCAATGATCTGGAGGTGCCCGTGAGGCCTGGCCCTGCCCTGCCAGCCTCCCTTTTCACCCACTGCAGTTTCCCCAGCCCTGCTCCAGCAGCACCACACAGCCAGACTTCCCCACACCCCACATTGAGCCACACACCTGGGGTTCTGGAGAGCGAGGGCTACAGCTGCCTTCAAGTAAAGCAGGATTCCCTGAAGGACCTTCACCCCAAGTCCCACCACTGCCTCCTCCATCAAACCCCTGCAGGGAGAGCAGCCATTGTGGGATGCCGAGGTGGCAGGCAGAGGAAAGGAGCTCAGGCTTTGCAGCAGAGTTTTATTGAAGCTGCCACAGAGGGAGCTGGGGCAGCAGTGACGGGGAGCAGTGAGGGAGAGCAGGCAGCGCTGCCCTAAACCACTCCAGGGTGTCCAGGAGGCACAGGGGGAACTGCACAGCTACTGTGCCCTTCGGGCCATCAGCATTTCCCTGATGTTATCTTCTGCTTCCTTCACACTCCGTTCCAGGTAGGACTTCTTCTGCTGCAAGGCAGAAAACCCAGAGGAAAGTTAAGGACTACTTTGGCACTGGCAGCAGGTGCCCCGGGGCTGTGACCAAGAGCTCTCCAAAGCAGAACTGCAAGCTGCCTGCTGAGGGTACATATGACCCTACAGGTTTCCCAAAGTGAGGACAGCAGTTACTCATTTCCAGAGGCATCCTGGAAGCATTACAAGCCTGAGCAATGTTTACATAGACTTTGAATTGTGTTGCCCCTGAAATCTTCTCCTCAAGAGCTGCCAGGGCTGTTGCAGCAGCAAAGCTGCAAAAAGTGGGATACAATAATTGCAGTAAGGACAAAAAAGGCAGTTAGATCCTGTAACGCATGGAGCCTAGAGAGGAATTAACATGCTGAGGCCTCCTTATGGAGGCAACAGCAAAATCTTTTTGCACTTGGATAAAAAAGGCTATTTTTCCCAGCTGGGCCAGTTTTCTAAACCCAGACCCTCCTTTCTATCAGAAATTCCCTGGCATCATCACCAAATACGTGTGTTTCCTTAATCATCTTTAATTAGGCTAGGCTTGGCAGGGAAGCAGCCCAAAGCTGTGCATCCCAAGACAGGAATTCAGCATGCAGCATTTTTTCCTCCAAGTCTGGGTGCTCCTAGGTGACTGGAAAAATCAGCACTTGGCTCTTTTCACTATTTTCTCTGGGTTTCCAAACAACAGCCACAACAGTCCTCAGTGGAAGCCAGGAAGGCAGCAGGCCCTGGGCAGCTCTGGCTGCTGCAGGCAGAGCTCAGCAGTGGGACAGCACTGCCCCAAATGCATTTTGGTAGGGGCAGGGGGATCCTCGGGAAGAATCCCCAGAGCTGGGCTTGTGGGGAGCCACAGGGAGAGCCCTGCAGGGCTCTGCGACAGGTTGGCATGAGCCTTGCTGTCCTCACAAGGCAAAGACTTGTAGCACCTGCCTGCTATGAAGGGCAGGCCAGGGGAGCTTGTGTGTCAGCCAGAGGACACGGCCACTGCCACATGGCAACAGGAAAGGAACTGTAAAGTTGATGCCCCCCTGACAGCCTCCCCCTAACTCCTGCAAGCCCACAGGGAGCTGGGACCCATAATGTTGAAGGAAAATTCATGAGCACGTGGGACAGTCCAGCTGCCGTCCCTCCCCATCCGTCTCCTCACAGCAGACCTGCAGTGACACTTCTGTGCACTCAGCTGAAATGCCCATGCCATGAGGACATCTCTTACAGCCCCATTTCTAAATACTGAAGGGCTTTTATTTAAACAGTAAAGGTTGTCAGCAACAGCTAGGACTGGGGGTACAGCAAAGAGCTCCTTGTCCCTCTCACACAGTCCCCAGGCATGTGGGATCCCCCTCGCTTACAAGAGCTGCTTTTCAGGAAACGACAGGGAGAGGAGGCGCCGCGCCCTCCAAGTCTGGGTGCTCCTAGGTGACTGGAAAAATCAGCACTTGGCTCTTTTCACTATTTTCTCTGGGTTTCCAAACAACAGCCACAACAGTCCTCAGTGGAAGCCAGGAAGGCAGCAGGCCCTGGGCAGCTCTGGCTGCTGCAGGCAGAGCTCAGCAGTGGGACAGCACTGCCCCAAATGCATTTTGGTAGGGGCAGGGGGATCCTCGGGAAGAATCCCCAGAGCTGGGCTTGTGGGGAGCCACAGGGAGAGCCCTGCAGGGCTCTGCGACAGGTTGGCATGAGCCTTGCTGTCCTCACAAGGCAAAGACTTGTAGCACCTGCCTGCTATGAAGGGCAGGCCAGGGGAGCTTGTGTGTCAGCCAGAGGACACGGCCACTGCCACATGGCAACAGGAAAGGAACTGTAAAGTTGATGCCCCCCTGACAGCCTCCCCCTAACTCCTGCAAGCCCACAGGGAGCTGGGACCCATAATGTTGAAGGAAAATTCATGAGCACGTGGGACAGTCCAGCTGCCGTCCCTCCCCATCCGTCTCCTCACAGCAGACCTGCAGTGACACTTCTGTGCACTCAGCTGAAATGCCCATGCCATGAGGACATCTCTTACAGCCCCATTTCTAAATACTGAAGGGCTTTTATTTAAACAGTAAAGGTTGTCAGCAACAGCTAGGACTGGGGGTACAGCAAAGAGCTCCTTGTCCTTCTCACACAGTCCCCAGGCACGTGGGATCCCCCTCGCTTACAAGAGCTGCTTTTCAGGAAACGACAGGGAGAGGAGGCGCCGCGCGGGTTCCCGCTGCCACCAACGCACTGACGCACCAGCACGACTTCTGCCACCACCGCGCCGTTCCCACGCTGCCCAGACAAACGTCGAGGGATTTCACATCTAGGGAACTAAAGCTGAAGGCTGCAAGGAGAGACAGGTCCCAGAAAACCTGCGTGGGTCTGAGCTCCACCTTGCTCTGCTGACTGGAGGAGAGCAGCATCCAAAGAGACAACTTTTATGCATTTATTACCAAAACTTTCTTTTTTATTTTTAATTAATGAAGTTGAATTAGTCTATTAAACAGTTCTGGCTTTCTGCCCTCTCCACTCCCCCTCATGCCACTGGCCAGCAAGAGCCAGTTCCAGAGAGCAGGTCTGTGCAGGCAGGCTGGCCTTGGCAGAGACCTCAGGGGAGTCTGGCAGCCCTGCAGCCTCACAGGAAGCCTCCATGTGCATCCAGGAGCTGGCGGGCTGCACATGACAGCTCTGTTCTCCTAACAGTAGGATTTCAAATGTACCCTGCTAGGACACCTTGCTGACTATTTGGGTCCCACTTCCCCGAGGACAAGGGACCATGACCGGTAGCATGGCCTGGCATAGTGCAGTTTGTGGCTATCATGGCCCACGCAGACCCATGCTGTGCACTCCTGCCAGGTGCTCTGCCCTGCCTCGGGGAGCAGAGGTGCTGGAGCTACACAGCTCATGGCAAAGGGACATGCTTTAATGCCATTTCTCTACTTAAACAGCACCTGCAGTACCAGACAGGTGAGGATTCAGGAAATTTTTATTTCCCTCAATCACTCTTCTTAGTCGTGTAGTTTATGAGACACAAGGATCTGAACTGGTCCTGATGCATTTGCTCCTTCCTCACAAAAGCAAGGTCAAGGGAGACTCATCCCTGGGCTTGAGGGGCATCCCTTGAATGTCAAGGGGAAGTCTGCACCTACAGCTGGGGGACTACAAACCTCTGGAGCTCTTCTGCAAGCCAGCACAGCAATTGGCTCCCACTCTGACTAGCTCCAAATCACAGGAGCACAGAGCAGACAGTCACTGCATTTTCCAAGACGACTGGCAGAAGTGAGGTGTTCCTTCCCAATGCGTTGTGGCCTGATTTCTGCTTCAGTAATCACAGGAGAAAGAGAAGGAGCTTGCATGCAAACCCCTCCTCACTGTGATTACTGGGGTCTAGACAGGAAACTCAATCTCTCCCTGCCCGTCCCAGAGCAGCGCAGGGAGCAAGCGGCTGACACAGGTGCTGCCTCCTTGCACTTGCAAGAGCAGAGCCCAGAGACCTGACAGCAAAGCTCCTCAGTCATCCTGGAAGCTGTTCTGGTCAAGCCAGATCTGCCAGGCTGGTAGTTCTGCTCCCTGTGGGAGGAACATTGCTGCAGTCTCCCAAACCCCAAAACCCCACCACCAAGCTTCCCTGACGTCACTTGGCACTTGATGTTGACTTGCAGCCCTAGTTAACCCTATGTCCTCTGACCCCACATTTTCGGGCCAGCCCATGGTTGTTAGGTTTTACCTCATCATCCAATTAGCTGCATATTTTTCCTGTGAAGGTGTGTTCATCACTGCAAGTGTTAATTATTTGTTGCCTTTGCCAAGGCAAACGCAGCTAGCAGCAAATTTCCAGTGCAATGCTAGTACCGTACTACTGATTTTGGTCACTCATGAAGCCAAATCTTGCTGATTTCTGCAGACTCTGGTATCGCTTCTACACCAGTAACTCCAGTGCTCAACCCTCAGGAGCCCAACAAGACACGGCAGCACACCAACCCTGCTGCAAAGCAAGCCATTGACTTCGGAGGCTGCACAACCTCCAAGCTCCAGATGCAAAGCTCCAACCCAGCTCTCACACCAGCAGTGCCCTAAACTGGCCCCATCCACCCACCAGCTCCTGCAGGCCTCTGGCCAGACAAGGTGGTTACCCAAAACAGCAACAGATATCACTGTCCAAGTCACGGCGTCTCAGGGCCAAACAGAGAAAGGAGCCTTGCTTTGGGAAGGCAATGGGGTAACAGTGACACATGCCATTAAGCTCCCAGAAAAGCCCAAACTCACAGCTGACAAGCAGAGCCAGGCTGTGGAGCCAGGCTGGGCAGTGCCTCAAGGTGCTGGCAACTCCCCAGCAGTTACACGAGGAGCGTGGCAAGGCAGGGAAGGAGGACACACTGACAGGGCAGCAGGAAGAGGCTGCTCTGTCAGTTGATGGCTCTGGCTGCAAGAAGCGGCTGGTTCCTCCTCCTGGTTCACAACTGTCACATCTGCTTGATAGAGATTTATTTAGGACACTGCAAAACACACTAACTGAGTGCTTCTGGAACTTACTTCGGAGGTACAGGTCCTGCGTACCAGCACAGCCAGTGCCCCACTGGCCTCTGCCACCCCGTGGCTTAAGGAGGTTTCAGAAATGCCACTTGCTTTCCATGACTCACACAGCAGCTCCCGCAGCCCCTGATCCCCCTCCTGCCCCGCTCTGTCCCTGCACAGGAAGGGCACTGCCACCTGCACTGGGGGACATGAGAGAAACATACAGCTACTGTGGTTGGCTAGCAAGGTCTGGACCACCTGCAGGACAGCTGAGAGGGAGCAAAACTGCAGAATAACCCCCCCAAAAGCCAGCACAGTCAATGCCTTTCAGACTGTAGTTTCATAATTCCTTTAAACTAATTCCACTACCAACAAAAGCCAGGGAGGGCTACAGCACCTGAGAGCAAGATAAACCACAGCCCTGATGATCTATCTGTAAACTAGCCCAAAAGGAAATGTTCTCACCTAAATCTGCTTTCTGGAAGTAGGTCTGCCTGGCACTGAGACGAAAGCTGAGAAGACATGGCCAA